CCCCCCCCCCGTGCCCCCCCCCCCCCCCGGGCCCCCTCTCAAGCCGCCGTCCCAGCGCCGTCAAACCCCCGCGACCCGGCCGAACGGCGTCTACCATTAATTTTAATCAAGCGAAATACCGTTAAATTTGTACCAGGCCGCTCTACATGTGCGCGGGTGGTACGTTCGCCTAATTTCGCCGGGGAACAGTCCCGCGGAAACTAAATTATCGTTTTATCCCGTGCGGTAAACAACATTCGAGGCCAGCCGTGGGGCTGGGGGGAGGAGGAGGGGGTGAAAATGGCTGCGGACATACTCCGGAAACTTTCATCAATCCGCTTGGCCGTAAATATGTTCCGGTCGTATCGTGGGGGGAGAAAAACTGCCGGCCATAAATCCGCGAACGATCGTGGCGCGATCAGCTTTTTTTTCCTCGCCGCTAATCCCTACGTGGCATGCACGGCGCAATTAACGAGACACGGCTCTTCATTTTACTTTCGTCCCGGTGCACGGTGCACGATGCACGCCGTCTCGAAAGCATTTCGAAACGCACAGTCGAGCGCGGAGCGCGACGATACGAATAATAATAAATCGTGCGCCGCGATCATAGAGAAATGAAATAGCCATCCCTGTTCCGAAACCGCGCTGCGCAGATAAGATAAACGAGACCGTAGCCGAAAGGTCACGGTGTCAACCCGAGAAACGGGGATGGATACGTTGCTCCTCGTATCTTCGCCGGAGATATTTCTATAACCGTGTTATCGTTCGAATACCACACGGAATGCTGCGTGACACGCACAGCAGGTTCTCTCGCGGCCGAGCCGAGCGCGAATCGTTGAAACGAAAGAAATGTACGGTCGCAAGAGACACACAGAACCGGGTAACCAAGTTTCGTGCGGAAGTCTAGGGATCCATATCTCTCGTTACACCACGATCCCCACCACGAGCGTCCATCTCATTTCGTTGCTCTATCTTTTCTCTATTCGCGGCGGAGTCGCGGCGAGATTGCTCTGTCCGCCGAGCTATGCGTCGAGCCCGTCACTCGAGCCCAACGGAAACTTCGGAAACTCGGTTCCCCGATTTTTCCCTATCGATTCCGGTATCCGTTCCCGTTTTCCCAGCGAACAACCGAGAGAGCGAGGCTTTCCTATTCCGAGGCATCCGAGCGTAGGCATGATCGATCGCGAAACTCGATTCACACGGCGTGCACGAACTCTCCCGCGATGGCCCGGTGGTGTACCAGGACCCGGGCCCGTTTCCCACGGGCCTAAGATGCGGCCGCGGGGTTACGTTACGTGGGTGGTGGCCGGATTCGAAACGTCGAGGCGGGTTGACGTTTGTCCGTGAGGACGCGAGGATCTCTCCGATAGATCGGCGAGAACGCATCGGCGAGACGCGGGCGCGAGCATCGGCGACGCGACGTGCGAAAAATAGAATTGGTATCGGTTACCTGGAGAAGCTGATAATCCTAGGCAATGAGGGTTCCGTGATGCAGTGATACTGGCATGGCGCTCTCCGGTACGACACTGGAGTTGAACTCGACTCGTCAAGTGTCCTGCCTCGGAAGGTTCGTCTCCTGGACTGCCACCGTTCAGAAACCTACATACACTCACACCTACTACCTGGTTGCTGGCACGCTATTGATCCTTGCCCAGACATCCGCCACCCACGCAGACGCTCAGCGTTGCCGCGTCGCTTTAGCAACATGACGTCATTCCGCGCCCCAGTCCGCCCACCCCCGCGAACCCTCCGCGCTTCGTCCTTTTCTTCCTTGGTTTCGTTAGGTTACCACCAGCCGCCTAGCGCCCCGACACTCCTATCGTGTCCCACCTACCGCCCGATTTACCTTTTGCTTACAAATATCGCGATTTTCACCGTGACCGTATCAATCCCTGCGCCTCTACACACACACGCACGCGCGCGCGCGCACACACACGGCCGCGCCACCGCGTACATGCACCCACCTGAACACCGCCTAGCTCGTGCAGCGTAGGGTCTTAAGGGTGCCCCGATATTTCGGGCTCGTGTCGGGTCGCGAATTTCGCTCCGGGGGTCGGGTCGCGAGAACGAAAGTTTGGAAAGTTCAGGCACACGAAGCTGCGGCCGCGGCCGCGTCGGGTCGTTTCGTGATACCGGGAGCATCGTAACCGCGAACGTTATACATAGGATGATCAACGATCGCGTTTCTTACGACGCGATTCAAAAGCGAATCGTATTACCACGTATTACGTGTTCGATCATATTTTTCTTTCCCTGCGAACATTTAGAATTAAAGACGCTGAGAACGCTCGAATATAATTATGAAAAAGAAAGCATGATATGTACTTGTACGCGATTGCAAACTTACGGAATCACGACCCGTTCCGACCCGACTGCTCGGACCCCGGGGTCCGTCCCGAGGCTCGAACCCTTGTCATGTTCACACCGGAATTATGTCCTCGTTGTCCTGAACCTCCGCCATGATCTCCTGTATTCGGCGAACGGGTCACACCCGATACGAAACTTCTCGTATGATGGACCACGTTACTGGGATATCCGTTAATTGCAAATCGGATTCGATTGTTAATGATTTTAAGGGGAAAACGGCTTCACCCGGATGCTCGATCAATAACGAGGGTTTGATCGAGTTTCGCTCGCCGAATGCTCTAATTCCCGCACGTTGACTCCAAGATCGATTCGGAGGGTTGCTCGATCGAGATATCCTCCCGGTTTTCGATCTATAAAAGAATCACGGTTTTGTTCATGCGAAACGAAGCGAATTTCTCTTGTTTACTTATCCAGTATAAATATTAATCGCTGATTTAAAGTATTGAGCGTCAATCATTGCATACTATTCACAATCATTTTTTGCCATAGTTATTGTTCTGATTAATATTTAAATCGTAATTATGTACAGAACTTATATGTCTCTACGAATCGAATACAAAATTCAAATGTAACACTAAGATTATTTTGAATTTTGTACAATAACCATTTTGTTTGACCAAGCGTAGATATTTAAATTTTCATTTCACGATGGAAGAAATTTTATAAATAATTAATTTAATTCTCGATCGAATCAGTAATTGAGTACTTATTTCACAGTTAACTGCGATTTAGTTGATGCAAGAATTTAAACGTTTTTTAATTGCAATCGATACTCCAATATTTCAATTGCATTCGTGAATCATTTATTACATTAAGTATTGCCAACCTGGATTCCAAAATGATTATATGCATACAAGAACTACTAACTGCAAATGGCTTGTTATACATAAATAACTGAGGCTCTCGTATAACATAGTTTAATATGAGACTTTATTAGTGTACAATAGAATATAGTTACTAGAATACACTAACGCCCAGTCTACTACTTCATTTAACAATCACACAAGTGATACATTATGTTTATATTTTCTAATTAATTAATAATGGTAAGTTTCATACTTAAGAATTCTAAAGAATTATGAGAAATGCATTAGGAACGAATATTGTATCGAGACCTATTTTTGTTAAAATCATTACGAGGCGGAGGGATTCGTGGCGTATAGTCTCGAGCATTAGTGTCTTGATCCACGTATTCTTTGAGTCTGAAGATGTGATTTCTGGGTCTTAATAAACTCTCCTCTAAAGTACCCTGAAAAAAAAATGATACAACATTGTAGTAACAAAAAATTTAGTTTCAATCATCGATATTTTCATCAGTCTAGCTTACATTTGTTGTAATATGTTCGTGTTTGTAGAGTAAACCTATCAAATGTAATAATTCTTGAATTCCATCATCTGGCATATCTTTGATATTAGATTCGAGTTTAGAAATCTGTAAAAAAGAACCATACATTAGTGGAAACTATATTGCAAAATCTAATGAACCCTAGTACCAAATATTTAACTTCACATACCACATCAGCATAATAAGTCTGCTTGAATGAGGATGTATCTTGATTCAATGTAGTTTTGAAGATAGGAATTATTTGTAGATACTTGTTCAAATGCATATATGCCATTATTTTAATACACCTAGTGTTGATGTACTGTGCCTTATTTATATTAGCTACCAACTCTAATCCCAATTCAGGTGCACCTTGCTTTAATGCTAAAGCAGCTAAAATTGCAGTAGCTCTATTGGGTGGATGAAAGTCTTTATCTTGGCTTTGTCTCCATACCTTCAAGGCGAATTCAAATGACTCTGGAGTATTCTAATAAAATAATTGAACATAATTAGCATATCGTTAAACGCTAATATGATAGTAAAAACAAAATTCTTACGGCTTTGTAACACGCAGCAGTGAGAGTAACTATACAGTGCTTTAAGGAGTTGTACCATTCCTCTACATTCATTAGATGTTCGTATACTTGTTGCAATTCAACAAACATATCATTTTTGTACAAGAGAGAAAATAGAATATGCATTGTTGTCGATTGTTTAAAAAACGGTGTTTGATCAAGTTTATAGAAAATATCCATTGCAGCCGTTGGTTCATTTAAGTAGTAATACATTCTCATCACCACTGGACCAAACACATATGTTCCAAACTTTATCTCTTTATTGCTACATTCATACTTTTCGATCATTTTATTAATTAATTGCAAATCTGATTCATTCTTTTGGATTAAATGTAACATTGCTTTTAAGTCTTCTGTGAAGACTACCTCTTTTGTTGATTCACAAATATCCTTCATTTTCGAACGAAATGTAGCCTCTATCGACTGAAATTGATTACGATAAATATTTCTTGTGTTTTCAAATGCGATTATACCTAAAGCACTGTTTGTGAACAAATGCCGAACGCCGACTAAAAAACATAAAATACATATTACATTTTAAAAATAAATACAGATAATGATGTTTATTTTTCTAGATCTAAAAGTCGGTTTAAAAGTCTGTATCGCTTAGCACGCCCCATATATTTCGAATACTTCAACGATTTTTAGTGTAAAATACAAAATTGTAGGTTAATAATATTACATACCATTAAGTAAATTATTTGTTGAGTATACATTGTTCACACGACTGAAATTCAGTCGAATGAATCCTCTAATTGACAATGCCATACTTATAATAACGAGTCAAAATTTAACTTTTGATAAATTAGACTTTTACAGTTGGAAGAATGTGGTCTCAATGCTACAGCTTCTCCACGATATCTATAGAAGAAAGATGGGTATGAATCCAAACGGAAGTCTTTTAGCCGCCATTTAAATTTCAAACTCGTGATTTCCGGTTTTTACAAGAACTATACATTTTATAGAGAAAGGTTCTAACAATTACACATTCT